GCGTGCGATGAATGCGGGTTGAGTCGTTGGATTGGGGCTACAAATTAAATATTGGATATGCTCGTAAAAAGCTTCAGAACTCTACTCAGGAAATCTACTCAGCATATAGAAAATGACTTCGGGAGAATGTTAACCCATAGGAAATACCATCATACAAATTACAAAATGGCTTTTAAATTTTGCGTTTGATGATGAGTCAGTTATGAGTCTTACTTCGATACCCTAAAAGATACCAGGAAACGCCGAAAAACTCCAGTTYGTACACCCGAAAAGATACCCGACGAGTGTTACGTGCCAACTAGCCATTACCCGAAATTATTATAACCCCGAAGTTTCAACTTGTGAACTATGGTATGGAYCCAAAATTTATAATTTAGCCTTAAATCTTTTCACTCAGCCTTAGATGGTATAGGCAAGAATATATAAAAAATAACTTTAGGTCTGACCCACAACCCCAACCCGAAAATTACTCAAAAGAGCCGTACTCCCTCGTGCTTATTCTGAAGCCTTACGTAAGAACAAAATATCGATGACGGCAATGAAACTGATGGATAGCATCTCACCTTTTTCCTCCTCTGCAATCAATTCATCCTCTTCAAATTCACTAAGAAATCTTGAACGTTCCGTTTTGGTTGTGGTCTCCGTGTACTTTCTGGCATCAGAGGCTTTACTTTTTTCATCTTCCCCAACAAGATAAAGGCCGTCCTTTCAATAGTCTGCTTTTCTTTTCGTGGTACACTTTGCATCGTTTTTGAAGTCCATCGGCGAAGATTCTTCACTACAACTACTCTCGTATACATCCTCCGGGTCTTTTACTGATGGTTTGTCGTTGCTAAAAAAGGAAAAACCAAGTTCATTAGCTACATTAATACTAAAAGTAATAAGAATTTATAGTCAGAATGATCAATTGGTATATCAAGAAATTACCCCGAGACTTGCCATTCTTTTATTTTTCTTCCTATTCGCCTAAGTGCCGTCTGTTTAGTTGGCCCTGTTCCCTTGCCAATGGATGTATAGTAGGCCTTTTCGACAGGACCGAGCTGGTCGGCCATAAGCTCGACGTAACTAAGTACTCGTTTGGGAAGACATCCAACTTTGCTCACTGCTTCCCTTACCAGCTGTAGCTCGAGGTTTCTGTTTTTGGATTTTATTTCAGATTTGCTAGACTTGCCTTTATCGCGGTCTGCTTTTCGCTTTTGCCTGGTTTTTGGCGTAAAGAAAATCCTTTCCAGCCTTTCCAACTCTTTGTCTCCTYGGTCTTCTGGATTCACTACAGGCTCTCCCGCAAAAGCAGCTTCGAGAAATATGTTTCTTCCTTCCATGGAGCCAAGAAACTTCAACCACACACATGAACTCCAGGCTGTATTTATACAGAATTAAGTGTGAACATACCTTCGAGCCTCTCACACTTACTTTTGGAAAAAATAGAAAATATTCTAAAAATTAAACTTAAAATATTTTCCAAGATATCCAATTAGATCCATATAGGCATTGTAAATATAAAAAGGAATATGGATTTTCAGGACTTTTGAAGTAGTTTCAATAGGACTTCAAAAGGCTTGTTTAAAAAATCCAAGATGGCGATCTGGTTGTCACGTGACTTAGTTTCCATGGCAACCAAGGCTTTAAGGTTCCTTCTTTTCACAAAAGACATTAACTTGCCAAGTTTGGGTAAGATTCGTAGAAAACTGGCTATGATATAGCTAAACAGTTTTTCATCGGAGAGCCATGCCTTAATGATGCYGAGTATGGGGTCATTACAAAATATGAACCTCCTTTGACAAAGTCTTACCTGCGTCAGCATCAGATCTTTTTCGCACTATTTCTCGTCCCTTCTTGTGTCATGCATTAAAGCGAGCTTCATGCACGAGGTGACAACTTGTTCAAAAACTACATTATAACCTTTGAACAATATAATGTGCTAATTATTTTTTGCCAAGGTTAAATATCCGAAGCCGAGAAATTACTCGATTGTAGATTCACGCTATTGTCATCAAGCACGATACCATCTCTCTTTATAGAGGCGACAAAAAGAAACACTTCATGTCAAGCCACATTATCGTTACTCCAGATGGGATAATAGTTCATTGTTCGGCTGCGTAAGTACTTACTACTGTTTTATTTTGGTAAACTTGGAAATGATATTTATTGCTGAAATATCATAAAAGTGAACGATTAAAAATTCGTCCGGTGGGTGTGAAGCCAGCCTATGCGTCCAGGTTTTGCTTTAGATTTATTRCTGAGTTTTATATTCCCTACATTTTTAGATTCCCCGGACATCTCAACGACACTAATGGATTTAACATAATGCCAAGGATTGGTCCGCAGTGTGCTCTAGATCTACCTGCTGGCTGCCATATTATTTCTGACAACGGTTATCCTCCCCATCCTGCTCTGATTAAACCTAAAAGAAGAGCCCAAGTCAATGGAAACCCAAGACTACAGGAGATAAAC